ATCTTGGTAATTTGGTCATTTTTGGAAGTTTTGATTAATTTGGATGTATTCAAAGTGTTCGAAATGGATTTTAATCAATTTTGGGTATTTTGGCAAAAATTTGGGAATATTAGTCAAATTTGGGTCCTAAGGGCAGTTAGGTAATCTCGGGGCGAAATACCAAATTAGGCATTTCACATAGAATTGGATAGATATCCGTTCTAAATGAACCATGGATTAATGTATTGTGAAGATATGGTGTACCCTAGTTCCAAGTCAACACCCAGGGTCAATCCTAAAGCCAAGTAATCCTATAGGGATTCTTCTTGAGACTAACGACTTATCACTTATGACTTATGAATTATGACTTATAACTAATGACTTAGGATTATGACTTATGAATTATGACTTATGCTTATGAATTATGAATTTTGACTTATGACTTATGAATTATGTATTACGAATTATGAATTACGACTTATGACTTAAGAACTATGAATTATGACATATGAATTATGAATTATGACTTAAGAATTATGACTTCTGACTTATGAATTATGAATTAGCACTTACGAATTATGAATTATGAATTATGACTTATGATTTATGACTTATGACTAATGAATTATGACTCAAGACTTTTGACTTTTGACTTATGACTTATGACTTATGATTTATAAATTACGACTTAAAACATATGACTTATAAATTAATGTGACTTATGACTTATGAGTTAAGTATGACTTATGAAATACGACTTATGATTTATTACTTATTACATATGACTTATGACTTATGAATTAAGAATAATGTCTTATTAACTAAGACTAATGACTTATGACGTATGAATTATGACTTTTGACTAATAACTTAAGACTTATCAATTTTGACTTATGACTTATGAATTATGTCTTATGACTTATGACTTATGAATTATGACTTATGATTTATGACTCTTATGATTTATGGACTTATGATTTATGACTTATGAATTATGACATATGAATTATGACTTTCGAATTTTGACTTATGGCATATGACTTATGACTTATGAATTATGACTTATGACTTACATTTTATGACTTATGGCTTATGAATTATGAATATGAGTTATGAATTTTATGACTTACGAATTATGACTTATGACTTATGAATTATGATTTATGACTTGTCAATTATGAATTATGAATTATGAATTATGACTTATGACTTATGACTTATGACTTGTGAATTATGACTTATGAATTATGACTTATGATTTACAAATTTTGACGTATGACTTACGACTTATGACTTATGACTTACGACTTATGACTTATGGCTTATGAATTAAGACTTGTGTCTTATGAATTATGAATTATGACTTATGAATTATGAATTATGACTTATGAATTATGAATTATGACTAATGACTTATGTCTTATGAATTATGATTTATAACTTATGACTTATGTTTTGCAAATTATGACCCTAAACCCAAGTGAATTATGACTTATCACTTATGACATGAATTTTGACTTATGACTTCTGAATTATGACTTATGGCTTATCACTTATGACTTTTGACTTATGACTTACGATTTTTTAATTATCACTTAAGACTTATGAATTATGACTTATGACTTATGATTTATGACTTATGAATTACTACTTATGACTTTTGAATTATAACTTATGACTGATGACATATGACTTATGACTTATGAATTATGACTTTTGAATTATAACTTATGACTTATGACTTATGAATTACGACTTAAGCCTTATGACATGATGACTTACGAATTATGTCTTGTGACTTACGACTTATGACTTATCACTTACGACTTATGACTTGTGACTTACGACATCTAACTTATGAATTATGACTTATGACTTGTAATTTTGACTTATGACTTATGACTTATGATTTATGTCTTATGACTTATGAATTATGTCTTATGACTTATGAGTTATGACCAATGACTTATGACTTATGAATTATGACTTATGACTTGTGACTTATGAATTATGACTTATGAATTATGACTATTGACTTATGACTTATGAATTATGTCTTATGACTTATGACTTATAACTTATAAATTATGACTTATGATGTTAGACTTATGGCTTATGACTTACGAATTTTGACTTATGATATATGACTTATGACTTATGACTTATGAATTATGACTAATGACTTGTGAATTATGACTTATGATTTTGGAATTATGAATTATGAATTATGAATTTTTAATTTTATGACTTACAAATTATGACTTATGATTTATGACTTATGAATTATGACTTATGACTTACAAATTATGAATAATGAATTATGAATTACGAATTATTAATTATGATTTTTTATTTATGAATTATTAATTATGACTTATGAGTTATGAATTATAACTTATGAATTATGACATAACTTATGACTTATGCATTTTGATTTATGACTTATGACTTATAAATTATGACTTATGACTTACGAATTATGAATTATGACTTTTGAACTATGACTTATGACTAATGACTTATGTCTTATGATTTATGACTTATGACTTATAACTTGTGACTTATGACATATGACCTATGACATATGAATTTTGACTTATGACTTATGACTTATGAATTGTGACTTATGACTTATGACTTACGAATTATGAATTATGACTTTTGAACTATGACTTATGACTAATGACTTATGTCTTATGATTTATGACTTATGACTTATAACTTGTGACTTATGACATATGACCTATGACATATGAATTTTGACTTATGACTTATGACTTACTTATGGCATATGACTTATGACTTATGACTTATTAATTATAATTTATTACTTATGACTTATGACTTATGACTTATATGAATTATGACTTACGACTTATGACTTATGACTTACGACTTTTGACTTATGACTTACAACTTACGAATTATGACTTATGACTTATGATTTATGAATTATCAGTTATGACTTATAAATTTTGACTTATGACTTATGACAACTCTCCACCTCGTTGCAACTCTCCGCTGCAAATCTTTGTTTCACCGCAACTCTTTATCGCAACGCTTTGTCGTGATGTTGTACCACGTTGCTTCTTTGCCACATGTCACCACAACTCTGTGCCGCAACACTTTGCCTCAACTCTCCGCCTCGCCGCAATTCTTTGCTCTGTTGCAACTCTTCTCCGCCGCAACTCTCCGCTGCAATTATTCTCCGCAACGCAGGATGATTTTCTTTTCCTCCTCACTTGTGATTTTTCCCCTCATCAAATGTCTCTATTTATTGGCATGATATGAGACATAAAATTAAAAAAAATTGACAACTCGTTAAAAAAAATGGCAGCTCATTTAAAAAAAATGACACCTCATTAAAAAAAATAGCTGGTCATTAAAAAAAATAAATAAATAAATAACCATAGCTCGTAAAAAAAACTAATCTTATTAAAAAAAACTGTTCACATATGTGATTCTCCATTTATTCTATTAATGCTTCGGATTCCCAACTCTCGCGGGTTCGATTTTTGGCTCCCGGAATCAGCCCATTGGGTCTCGCTTGGCCGGCCGAGTCACGTGTGCTTGGCCCACTGGGTGCGGGTCAGGTTTTGGCCTGGTAAATTTTTTTTTTATGAGATTTGAACACCCTAGGATTCAAACCCCCACCACTTACAAATGGTAAAAAAAGCTCACCAATTGAGATAGGCTCAGTATACTTTTTTAATAGGAATAATTAATAATTTTATTTGCACGCTCATAGTAATAAAGTATATCTATATTTTTTATTCCTACAAAAATGAAGTCTATGGATTTTAATATTTTTGGACGAGAAAAAAAAATGGTCTCACCCAAAAATAAGGGATAACTAATACGCTACCAATAAATTTTCATCATCTGGCACGAATCTCGAGGCTATATTTTTAGCAAAAAATATTCAAATCTTAATAAAAGTTCATCTAGGGTTTAGGGTTTCAGGAAAGTTTTAATCAAACTGACCAACTCGATGAGACAAATGACCAAAGGAAAATATGTTGAGATTTTCATACCTATTTTACACTGATTTTGATGATATTGTACTTTAAAGAAAGGTATTTTTGATGTTTTGTTGCACGTATGTTGAATTATGGTCATCGGAGCAAAAGATGCAAAAAAGAGCGAATTTGGAGCGAAAAGGACCAAAATATGAAGATTTGAACTAAGGCGCCAACGGCGGGTTTTTCCCGAGAGTTCAGAATCAAATATTCCAGAAGGCTGCCGACGGCGCCCTCAAGGCCGCCAACGGCGAGATCGGTGGTTATCTCAACAGGTGCATTGAATGTGGATGATTTTTTAGGAGATGCTTAGGCAACTCTTAGGAAAACTCTTCTACAACTTTAAGAGAAACTTTTGGCCAATAATTGAAGTGTGAGGGGAGGAAGTAGAGAGTGTCTAGAGTGTAGAAAGTTTAATTTAGGGTTAGATTGTGAGGAATTCTTCGAGAGATTGTAGGAGTGGAGGGAAAGTGAGAGATTTCTTCCTCCTTGCAGCTTCGAAGAAGAATTCTGTGTACTGTAAAGAAAGGAAGAGATTCAGAGGAACTTCGAGGAGTTTTCTTGGGGAGGAATTAGATATAAGTGGTATTTACTTATTGTAGTTTGTATGAATTTGCTTTTATATATAAATTCTGAGTTTTGTCGTATCTTCTCAATGAGTTCTGAGTAGTTTCCTCTGTCTTTCTCTTTGTCTTGAGATTTTGTGAAATGATGATTTGAATTGGTTGAGCCTTGAGAATGTTAAAGAAGTTGTGATGATCGTTTCACTTTGATCTTAATTTACTTTCAATCTGGCCAATTGATTTGTTAAAATATGTTGAGTTTTACAACTAAAATGAAGATTACATCCAAGATTCAGGGAGGTCAAAGCCCTTGAAAGTTGGGTGCAAATAAATAAGGAAATAAAAATTATCGGGCGTAGAATTGGAGATTTTAGACCCATCCTAACCATAGATTCAGTAACCAAGCATAGGATTAGTCAATGTTCTTTATGCCTGGTCCAAAGGGTAAAGAATAAGTATGCTTCTATTTGACACAATATAATTTGAATTGATTCAATTTATTCATTCACTTAAATTTCTTGACAATGAGAAGAATGCTTTCTTGTATATTGAGCTTCACATTAGAAACTTTATTAGTATAATTAGTTATTTAAGAGTTATTAAAATTACATATTTATTTCAATTGTCTATTAGTGACAGATAAGCAATTTGAACTATATTGTTGTGATTAAGTATTGATTTTCTAAAATCTTAGTTCGTAGCCTCTAATATTACTCCTTGTGGGATCGATGTCCAAGACTCCATTAGAGCTCTGTATTACTTGAGTGATACGTATACTTGCATTGATAAGTGTGACTTTGCAATTATTGAATATTTTATATACATCTTTATCGAATCTATAACCGCTGTCAAGTTTTTGACGCCGTTACCGGGGAATTAAATTTTCTATCAGCAGTATCAAATTCTTGTATTTTTAAGCATATATAAAGTTGCTGTCAAGTTTTTGGCGTCGTTGCCGGGGAATTAAATCTTCTAACAGTAGTATCACAGTAGTATCAAATTCTTGTATATTCTTGTATTTTTAAGCATACATAAAGTCGTTGTCAACAAATCTAATGATATCAAAGTTAGTCAAATCTAAGTCAAATCGAGCCCATATCAAATGATTAAATCATTCTTGGAAGATTTCCTGACACAATTGAAAGATCAAACAAATGTCGAATTCAGCGAGTTCATAGTCGAATTGAGCGTCTGGACAAGACAAATCAAACGAGCCCAAGATTGCTCAATTCTGACATCGTTAAGGCACTCAAATGTCCGTCAAACACCATCTGATCGAGGGAAACTCTCCAGACCGTCTGATCAAAATGGTTCATATTCTTGCATTAATTGCACCCAAAACACTAAAAATAGAGCCCCACCCCTTACATGAAAGGGAGAAGGCTTGAGAAATAACTTAAAGCTTTGAGAAGGAGCTCTACTCCAACATCATCACTGTCATCGTCTACCTTCATCGACCACCACCGATCGTCGGCGACCATCGCCGACCTCTGTCGACCGCCGGCACGATCACCACTGACCTTCGTCGACCACCGCCGACCGTCATCGACTATCATCGACCACCGTGAACCTCCGTCGACCACCACCGACAGTCATCGATTGTCGTCGACTATCGTCGATCACCGTCAACCACCGTCGACTACCGCTGATTGAACGTCGTCAGTCGACTTTGTAACTTGGAAAGCTAACAACCCTTTCTTGTTTGTGGGACAAGGGGTCTCTGTAATCATCAACTTATATTGGATTTTTATAACTGGGTCAGGCCCCGTTGTTTTTTCCCTTTACAGGTTTTCTACATAAAAACTTCTGGTGCCATCGCAGGTTGATTCATTTTCATCTTAGTGTGTGTTGAATCCTCGTGTAACGCTAAGATGATAATCTATTACTCTACCACCGCGAATTTTCCAGCACGCATCAATAAGAGTCTCTTGATTAGTTACATTTTTACCCCCACTTTAATGAGACGTCACAAGTCATTAATTTTTTAAATTTTATTGGAGGTATTACAGAATAGTTGTTACCTTTTTTGACGTCTTTCATAATCATAATCATTACTGACGTCTTTTAGAATTTATAACTGATACTGACGCCATATTCATAATTGAAGTTAAAAACCGGCTTTACATATCAATACCTAATATTGACAACGTGTTGTGAGCCTAAGACTTTGATCGGCATGCTATTGGATCAGTCGGCTTAACTTATTTGGGTCTACTTGTTGCTAGAGCATATCAATTGATTTTGCTCTCTTTCAAGTTGTAGCTAGCTGACTATGTGTCGACTCGTGATGACATCTTATGTCTCGGCAACGTTTGATAGCTGGGCAGAGTATAAGTCAATCGGTATTCCCTCGATCAACTGATGATTTTCGATCGGCCACCTTCTAGAGCACTTGAAATCTATAAATAGGTTAAATTTCTCATTTTTTTCTTCTCAGCCGATGAATCTCACCTCGAGCATCATGCTGATAATTTATCTGGATTAGTTAGCAAATTTGAATACTTCACAGAATTAACTCACTACTCGCTACACTCAGTACTTTCTAGAGGCTTCAATAGTTTGGCTCAAGAAATGCTGAAATGTCACTCCACCAAAACAAAAAAAATAAAATAATGAAACAAAATAAGTTGGTATAAATATCAGCTAAATTTCCGCATTCAGATCACCAAACAATACAATCATTACAAAATAAGCTTTCTTCGTCTTCAGATAGCCAACCTGAAACCGCTGCGCAGCTCCCCCTTCCCAATCAAAGAAGCGCAGTGAAGATGCAGCAGAGGTGTTTGGGCGTGCTCTGTTTGCTCCATCTTCTACTGCTTCGCTCTTGCGCGGGGAAGGTCCCGGTGATCATCGTGTTCGGCGACTCCACCGTGGACTCCGGCAACAACAATTTCATCAACACTGTCGTGAAGTCCAACTACGCGCCCTACGGCCGCGACTTTGACGGTGGAAAGGCGACGGGAAGATTCTCCAACGGTCGACTGGCCACGGACTTCATCTCCCAAGCCTTCAACCTCTCCCCCACAGTTCCACCTTATCTCGATCCATCTTACGCCATCAAGGACTTCGCCCACGCCGTCTGCTTTGCCTCTGCTGCCTCCGGCTACGACTACGCCACTTCCAACGTCGCCGTGCGTAACTCATTTAACAATATCTTCTTCCACCTAACTGCCGGGCGACAGCTCAATATGGCCATGGTTATGCCGAGCTGTCGCCCGGCAGTTGATCTACAATTTATAATTCAATATTAGAAACTAAAAAAGATATGATTTTTAAAAGAAACCGAATCAAACTGAAGTTTTTACTCCTCCCAGTCTGCCATTCCGCTGTGGAAGCAGCTGGAATACTTTAAGGATTACATAGGGAAGCTGCGGAGCTATCAAGGGGAGGCGAAGGCGACGGAGACGATAAGGGAGGGTCTGTACATCATAAGCATGGGGACCAACGATTTTTTGGAGAACTACTATGCGGTGCCCGGCAGGTCTTCAACTTTCACTGTGGATGAGTACCAGAACTTCCTCATCGGAATCGCAGGGAGGTTTGTGGAAGAGATCTATGCCCTGGGAGCTCGGAAGATTGACCTCACCGGGCTGCCGCCCATGGGCTGTCTCCCGCTGGAGCGCTCAATCAACTTCCCGCCGTCTCTGTCTGACGAGTGCAAGCAGGACTACAACAGGGTAGCACGAGACTTCAACTCCAAGTTGAATATTTTGATGGATAAGCTTGACAAGGAAAAGCCGGACATCAGCCTGGTTTATAGCAACATTTATGATTTCTTCGACGCAGTTCTCAAAAGTCCATCTTCTTACGGTGAGTTCTTATTCTATTTTTTTTTTAAAGGAATGTAATTGCCGTGATTAATTATAATTTATTTTGTTGTCTGAAGGGTTTGAAGTGGCGGAAGTAGGTTGTTGTGGTGCCAGCGGGCGGTTGGAAATGGGCTACTTCTGCAAGTTTCCATTAACATGCAAAGATGCGAGCAAGTATGTGTTTTGGGATTCCATGCACCCCACGCAGAAGATGAATAAACTAATCGCTGATTATATCGTCAACACCACCTTGGCTCGTTTTATGTGAATGCGTAGATAGATACATACAGACACTCGTAATGATATTATCATGGAGATGAATTTCTTTCCTCCTCCAAGGAGGATAGAAGCACATGTATCTTTTTAAATCCACTTTCAATATATACCTATATATATAGCAGTTATTATTTTTATATATATATATATATATATATATATATTAAGACTGCTAGCTAGGGTCAACACTTAAAGGGTGAATTAGATAGGAAATTAGTCGTTATATATAGTGTGCATTCAATTTAGGCCTCCTATTTTGGGAGGAGATTCTCTACCAACTTATTCATATGCTTTGCTCAATATTTTAACCTTTAAGAAGCACTTTAAGTGCTAAATTATACTTTTTTTTTATTTTAACTTTATTTAAATTTGTAAAATAAGTGATATAAATAGCAGTTAAGCATTTGATCATGGAATATACTCATTAAAATTTAGTAAATAATGTAAGGACTTAAGGTAGTCCTGTATGATTACAAATGGCTATTATTTTTCAAGTAGATTAAATTAAATTATTAAAATATTAATAGTATTTATAGTGTGTAAGCTGATTTTGAGTATTGTCATATAAGTGCTAATTCTACTGATTAATCATTTTTGATGATGATGTGAAAGATATAGAACTGTTGAAGGGAAGAGAGGAAAAAAATATTCACAAACTCACTAAACGTACACCACACACTGCATTTGCATCCCTATTAACGTACTGAACGACATTCGCGAATGGATGCCGCAACCAAGTCTAAGAAAATGAGAAAATCTATATTGGACTAAAAAATAAGCCTTAAAAAAACAACGTTTAATATTCCATCACAACATTTTTATCTTAGAATCTCTCTGACCAAATGATAATTCATAAACTTCTAAAAATACTGGAAAAACTTTTAAATTAATTTTATTGCTTATTAAAAAATTTGAAGTTAAATCCTAAAAACTATATGGTATGTTAGGAAGTAAATCCTAAAATCTAGTTGGGAATGAGTACAACTAGGGTGGGGTAGTCCCCCGTTCATCAGCAGATGAAGCCGTGGGCGTGGTGGTACGAAGACCACAACACCGACACCGTCTCCAGTCTCAGCTAACGCGCCAACACCTCCAACAGTCACAACCACGACACCACTACCGTCATCAGCCACGACACCGCCACCACCATCAATCGCGGCCATGACACCACTACCGCCACCAAACATGACCATGACACCACCACATCCACCAACCATCACCACAATAAATTTAATTTTTTGTTACGATTGCATAGATTACACTGTTACGATTGATGGTGGTGGTGTCGTTCAGTACGTTGATGACGGTGTTTATTGTTTATTGTGTCGTCCAGTACACAATCATAATGAAAATTAACTCAAAATCTAATTTGTCAGTTTCAAGATGGAAATTCACATAAAAATCTAAATTTCATTCCTGCAACTCTCATTTTGACAATGCAAATTAGATTTTGAAGTGATTTTCCATTTTGGAACTGGTGACTTATTTTACTTGCGTAAAAAAACGACTTGTGCGACACTTTTCCGACAGTTAACTCATCGGTTATAAAAATGAAGCATAATCGATGGTTTTATCTGTTTCAATTGCTTCAAAAAAACTAACAAATACGACAATTTTATGACATGTATGATCACTATTGCTGGTGGAAGAACCTTCAGTTATGCGAACTAACGATTACCGACGACTCGAATTTTCTCAAAAAAAAAAAAAACTATGACATTAAATCGTTAAATAGACGTCGGTACATTTATACTGTCGGAATATCGATGGATTTTGGAATTGCCGACAAATGTTTTACTTACAAACTTAAAACCGTCGATAAACTATTGTTGAGATTAAAAACAATGATTTTTCTCATCATAACCGACAGATTTTGACAGTCGAAAAAAGCCTAAATTCCTTTAGTGTAAACCTTAAACCTTTTTTTTGTTTATATCGGTAATAAAATTATCAAAATAATAAATTTATCATTATAAATAATTGTAATGATTTTTATATTTATTAAAATTTTGAATATCTTTCAATTATATTAATGAAAATTTAAAATGCATCTATAAAATTTTATAAATTAATAATGAAAACACATTTGTTACTAAAACTAATAATACCATAAATTTAAAAGATAATGGAGAAACTAATAAGAATTTATTTACAAAATAAAATAAATAGAATATAAAATCTCTTATATCTAATAATAAAACGCACAACAAGGAGTGATGGCCACAATATCTTTGATGGAATATTAAACGTTGTTTTTTTAAGGCTTATTTTTTAGTCCAATATAGATTTTCTCATTTTCTTAGACTTGGTTGCGGCATCCATTCGCGAATGTCGTTCAGTACGTTAATAGAGATTAGTGGTAGGCACATGACCCATATCGTCGTCTTTTATTCACAACAGCCGGGTTTCATCATTTTTTTGTCACTTGGCTGGCGATACTCACATGCCACATGTATAATAATATTGCTTTTGGCTATTTAAGGACCATTAAAATTTTGTAACCTATGCAGTCATAGCAAAATCAGAATTTTTGCCTCTTAGCGCATTCCACATAAAACACGGTTATGTTTTATTTCGATTTCGTTTAACTGTTTGTGTGACCCCCCAATGTACCTCCACACAGCACAATTAAATTTTTGAAAGCTAAGATGTGCCGTACATAAATGATAAAAAAGAAAAAAAAAAGTCACCTTGTTTTTACATACATGCCACCCAATTTTTATATATTTACATTTCATTATTTTAGGCTTTAATTAATTAAAATACATCTTCACATGTATGAATATGATGAACTTAATGGCATGCATAAAAAATAAAATTAAAGTATCAGCCATGTAAAAACATAAGAATTAAGTGATATGTGTCTAAATTTTATTTTATTTTATTTAAATAAAAAGCTTGAAAAAACCAAAATTATCAAATCCAAGATATACGCGAAGGGTTCATTTTTTTTAATTTCTGCCCCGTTGGGACAGAAGCATTTAAGTAATCCATTACAATATCTAGCCACCAAAAAAATTAAAAATAAAAATAAAAATACATTTAATTCGATTAATAAAATTATTGAGTCAGACATGTGCCTCAATCCCATGATGCCACCACCGGCGAGCCCTAATGGAGCTTCCCGGCGGCTAACTCAGAGGCCACCCATTTCCTGATTTCATCCACAAACTTCTCAATGTTGCGGTCTGATGAACCACCGGCGGCAACGGCGGGCCCCCCCCCACAC